AGGCTGTACAGCCGGGATTGAAGACGTGGCCCTCATAACACAGCGCAGCACACCTGGGTGCAGAGGGGCCTCACCTGGATAGGAGGACACCTCGGGAAGGCGGGTCCTGTAAAGGAGGCTGCTTTCCTGGATTTGCCCACTGGGATGGGGGCGGGGAGTTGGCTTGGATACTGGAGAGGCTGCTGATGGTTGGTTGGGGCACTAGGGCCATGCTGGAAAGAAAAAGAAGCAGTTCCTGTGAGGGTTCACAAAGCACAAGGCAGGCTGCACCCTGAGGCTTTGGATCGCGTGGTCCAGCCCCTGTTCTCTGGGGATCTGCTGGAGCCTGGGGGGAGAGTGGGGAGGCAGCTGTCCCCCATCACCTGCACCTCTTCCTGTGGACCCCATGACTCTGGCCCACAGCGTCTGAGCTGCAGGGGGAGTAGTCCACCTGTCTGCCCACCGTGTCTTTCTGACCCAGATGGTTTCTGGCCGTCCCATCCTCATGGACCGAGCTGTGACATGGCCGCTCCCTGTCTCCAAAGCGGGGTGCACTGTCCTCGTCGATGGCTGTGTTGTCTCAGTGTATTCTATATGCGGGCTCACACGCACCCCCTTGCCCAGCTGAAAACAAACCCTCCAGCTCATCATCAGCCAGCATGAAACACACCACACCTCCCGGCAGGTGACCCGGCCCATTCCTATTGGTCAGTTCAGAGCCTCCCGTGTGTGAGCAGCGACTTCCGTCTTTGCAAGCAGACTCTCTACCACAAAAAAAGCACATAAAACCACCCGGGCCCTATTTCTGTCACTAAGCAGCAGCGGCCTATAAAGGGGCTCCTGACTGTGTAGTTGACTTTCTATTGGAGGAGAAGCGAGAACTGGCCTGTGAGAATAGTACTTGGGATCCTCGGGTCTGCCCCAAGTGGTGATTTCTCGCCACCCCATTTGGCCAGCCACCCCGAGACCCGGCAGCCACTCAAACACCAGGAGGAAGCAGCGCACATCGGCCAGGCATATGCACCAGACTTCCTCTTTCTTCCTCCGTGCGTGAACACTTCTGTTCCTTTCCCGAGTCACTGCAAGAGAACTAATGTTGAGCCCCCATCCATGACCGAGGGCCGTGCTGGGCACTCACTGGCTTGTCTAAACCCATCTTCCCCATGACTCGGGGAGGGTTTGCTGGACATGGAGGGACTATGGCGGAGGGACTCAGATGCCCAGCAGAGCTTCTGCTTCATACTTGGGACTCGTACGGAGCCTGGGGATCCTCGCCACATCTGACGGCATCACAGAATTTTTCGGACACCAAAATAACTTAGAGAAACAGACAGCCTGGTTTCCATGACGATGTAGCTCATCTCAGTGACCGCCTGTGCACGCTGTCATGCCATCCTCTTAATTATGCGCGTTAGAATTGACCTCATTAGAGAGGCAGAGGCAGAGACATGAGATGTTTAAAAATCCCACATATTCTGCTGAAAGGAGACCACAAGGGGTGGCTAGGGCATTGTGTTAGGAAGGGTTCTGAGGACCAGTCTGGCCATTATCGCTGGCGATCTCTGCTCTGGGTGGCTAGGTTTCACTAACTGGTCCGGATCCTCCTCCAGCAAGAATCTGGATCTGACGCCAGGTGATTCCTGGGTCTTGACTTCCTTTGGTTTGCTCAGGTCCACAGAGTGTTCCCCAACGGGTTGGCCTCCCAGGAGGGAACTATTCAGAAGGGCAATGAGGTTCTATCCATCAACGGCAAGTCCCTCAAAGGGGCCACACACAATGATGCCCTGGCCATTCTCCGCCAAGCTCGGGACCCCAGGCAAGCCGTGATTGTCACCCGGAAGCCGGCTCTGGAGGCCACACCTGAACTGAACTCCTCCACGGATTCCTCAGCCTCAGCCTCTGTGGCCAGCGAGGTTTCTGCAGATTCCAGTAAGTGCCCCCGAGCTTGGGGGAGGCCCTGTGGACCACATCGCCTTTGGCCACGTGGGGTGGGTGCTGCTGGGGCCGCTCAGTCACGCGGAGCCTGCCCGGCAGGCTGCTGGGGACGCGTGTCCGTTTATACGTGCGTGGGCACCGGTCCCAGTCCAGCAGGTGGGCTTCCCCGGCTCGCGTGCTGCCCTGGAGGAGAGTGTCCCTGACAATCCCTGTGTTCCCCCCACAGCAGAGGCCACGGTGCACACGGTGACGCTGCAGAAGACCTCTGCGGGGCTGGGCTTCAGCCTGGAAGGCGGGAAGGGCTCCCTGCTCGGGGACAAGCCTCTCACCGTGAACAGGATTTTCAAAGGTGTGGTGTGCGTCTGCGTCTTTGTGCCCTCTCCAGCTGTGTGTCGGGGCCAGGCCCCCTCAAGGCTTCTGGGCACCCTGGGGGCCACATCAGGTTCCCACAACCCCGTGCCCTCCTGGAGGCAGGCAGGCAGGCCACGTAGGGACTCGATTCTGCTTTTTCTAGCTTTTCTCCTCGGCTCGGGGCACCCCCTGACTCCTTCTTGCTCGCTGGGTCCTCGCAAGTGACTGAGCCCTGGGCTTGGTTCAGCTGGGCAGGGCTGGGGCTAGGACGACGCCGGGGAGGCACGGCCCGAGGCGCAGCACAGAAGGGGGCCTTCAAACCCGCAGTAGCCAATCTCAACACGCTATTTCTAAAGATTCATTAAATGAAATCCATAATGAACAAAATATCAAAGTTTAAAATAAGGACAGAGTCTTTCCACTTGTACACACTCAGCCTCACTCGCCTCCTCTTAATCCTGGACCCATTTGAATAAAAACAGCTCCTGTTTTTATTCGAAACACTGACATTTTGTTCATCATGGCTTGAGGCGCAAGCCGGCTGAAAGTGGGGATCACTCGGGTTTTCCCGTGAACATCGTGAATGGCCTGCAGCTCCCACCGACTCTTCGCTGCTCCTCAAGCTGGACCCCAGCACCGCAGAGTGGGGAGCTGTGGGCAGAGAGCACTGGGCAGGAGTCAAGGGACCCGGGTTCCGGCCCCAGCTCAGCCTCTCACTTGCTGAGAGACCACGGCCCCTGGGGCTGGGGGCTCCTCGTCCACACAGAGCTGTGGGGTGTGTTTGGACCTGGGGGCACGGAGGCTCGCTGGGGGCGTTCCGCAGGAATCCATGTTTACCCTAACTCTGGGAAAGACGTTTTTGACTTTTGAAGGTGGACTAGCAGCTCTGAAGCTCGGCTGGCTACCCAAGTCCTTGGGCTCTTGGCCGGTGCAAAGGGACGATTGTCCCGCACGCAGTGTGAGCAGGACACCTGATAGGTACCAGGGCCTGAAATATTTCAGCAGGTTTTTATTCTCATTACTATTGGCTTTTAGTCACTATTTCTGAATATCATTGTATCAAACGGATGGGAAATCCTCTTTTAATATAAACAATAAAGTAACACTCTTTTGAAAGATGAAAGATGAAAGCCACACACGATGTCCTCTTACATGGACGCAGGGGTCCCCTCCAGACCGTTCAGAGACAGCGCGCCTTGAAGGTTCAACAGTCCCCTTCCCACATCGCCCAGTGCCTGGGGAGCTCATTGGAAGGGGAGAGACCACACGTGGACCAGGGTGTGGGGCTGGTGTCCACGGAGGCTCAGAGGGGGAGCAGCTCCCCAGAGGCCTCTATGACCTATGAAGTCTCCTCAACCCGACTCTGGGCTCGGGGCTGCCCAGAACCTCCCTTCCCTGGGGACACATAGTCTACATCTTTCCCAAGGGCCACAGAGCTGGAGCGTGACGTGACGTGCCCACCTCGAGGTCACCGTCTGAGGAGGATGCCTCGTTTCAGACCCACTGCCAAGCTCCCGAGGGATGGGCACCCTGTTCCCTCCCGAGCTGTCCTGGCTCCTCGGACACTGAGGGTCGGAGGTAACCCTCCTTGTTCCCTGGTCACCCATGCAACCCGTTATCTTCCTCCCCCACTCAGGGGCAGCCTCGGAGCAGAGCGAGACAATCGAGCCAGGAGATGAAATCTTACACTTGGCGGGCACGGCCATGCAGGGCCTCACGCGGTTTGAAGCCTGGAACATCATCAAGACGTTGCCTGACGGACCTGTCACGATTGTCATCAGGAGGAAAAGCCTGCAGGCCAAGGGGACCACGGCAGCCGGAGACCCCTAGGCGAAGCACCGGTGCCAAAGCCAGTAACACCTAGCTCCTCACAGCCTCGAATTCTCAGGGTCGCTGCTAATCCCCGCCCGGATGGGGAAAAGCAGAGATGTGCTTCCTGGTGGCCGCTGCCCTGGTCCAGACCTTCTGGGATGCCACCCAGCCAAGAGGGTTGTCCCCAAAGGAAGAGAGAGTCACACCAGGGTGGCCAATACAGACTATGTCTAGAGAGCGTAATGATAATACTGTGGTGCTGTAAATAAAACAGATATGTTATAGTTTGGTATGAGATCCATGTCCTGCTTGGCGGATTTTCCAAGTCCTCTAACGGTGTAATGATTCACACCCCAGAGAGCATTCGCTTTTCTCACGAATCTGCCATGTGGGCAGGCTCGGAGGGGACAGGCCATGCTGCTTTCCTGGGCATCCGCCCGAGCAACTCAAAGGCTGGGCGCTGCAAGCACCCAGAGGGTCATTCTCTCACACCTCTGGCAGCTGATGTTGGCTGTCGGCTGGGAACTGAGCTGGGGCCGTCAGCCCAGACACGCCCAGGGGGCCTCGCCCCGGGCCTGGGCCTCCTCACAACATGGCGGCTGGGTGCAAGGGTGAGAGCCAGGTAGAAGGTGTGTCCTTCTTATGAGCCAGGCTCGGAGCCCCAGGGTATCTTCTGCTGGACCTTATCAGGGGTGCTGGCCCAGGTGCAAGGCGAGGGGAGACGCTGCGGGGCTATTTTGGGAAAACACAATCTACCACACAAAACAGGTGCAAAGCTGGTTTTGGTCGGGTTGGAGACATGATCCTAGGCCTAGGGTGGTACCGGGTGGTGGGGAAAGGACTCCAGGACAGGTGAGACTCAAAACGTGGGCAGGTGTGCCAACAGCATGGACCAGCACGCGTACAAGAGCGTAAATGAAATATTGCTACCATTCACCCACCCCGCGCTGAGCACCGGGCTGGTGGTCAGTGGACACGGTCTTTACTAATCACAGTGCTATCTACACAGTGTGGTTTTTTTGTGCCATTGTACTGATGAGGGCACCAAGACCCGGAGACCGCAGGTGACCCACCCAAGCTGGTGGATGTTGGGGCAGAGATTACGTCCTTCTTTTCCGTGATCTGGTACGGACGGAACAGTGCCTGACCAAAGGGGTATTTATTTGGTTTGTTCATCTCTTAATGCCTGACGGCCACACTCAGGACAAAGGGGCGTATTAGCAGCAACCAGCGCTCCCTGACCAGACCCCGGGCAGTGTCCCAGCCCTGCCCCAGCCCCGTGATCACGGTGGAGACTGGAGGCAACATGCCAACGAGTTATTCCCAGGCCAGGAGTGCTGGGGCCATGTCAGTGGAGTCTGGTGGCTTCTCCAGGGTCCACAGGAAGCAAAGACTGTTTCCTGGCAGTGAACTCATAGAAAACCCGCCGGGGGCCCCTCTTCACGCAAATGCTGTGTGTGACGTCACTGCAGTGGGCATCAGCTCGCTGACTCATTCATTGCGGGAAGCAGCGGGCTTACAGTAGTCGCGTCCTGCTTCCTGCCTTGTGCATAACCCTTCTGAACTTTGTCAAGCCCTACACAGAGACAAGGACTCGGAGACACCGCGTGGACCGGTTCTTCGGGTTTAACGAACACTGACGATCACCGCGATCCAGCCCTGGAAGGCTGCCTGAGTTCCACAGGCACGCCACAGGACCCTACCTGTCCTGCCCTGGGCTGGCCGATGAGGACACGCAGACTTGGAGGTACACCCAGCCCATCTCGCAGAGCCAACTGGGCAACTGCTGGGCAAGCAGCCAGGTCGGGCATGCGGTCCAGCCCAGGGAAGGAGGAGTGGCCTTCCGTCAGCAGTGGGAGCCAGCGACACGCACAAGCACACGGCCAGGGACACAGGGAAGGCGTCCCGCGCGTCTGGGCAGGTTTGTCTCAGAACTAGGACATGGCTGGGGGTGAGCCCACAGTCCTCCAGTCCCTTCTCCTGCTTCAGAACATCGCCCTCTCCCCGACTCAGGACGCCACCAGGGGTCAAGTCTCCAGTCTCCAGGCTCGGGGTGGAGTGGGGTGGAGGGTCCTCCGTCCAGGAGCCAGCAGGGTCTTAACACAAGAGCTCATCCATTAGCACTTCGTGGTGCTGGGATTTACACGGGAGAATCGGCCGTCCCTGGCCAACGTCTTCAGAGCGGAGGAGAGGCAGAGAACAGCGCCTCGGCAAGCGGCTTCCGGTCATCCCCAAACACCGCCAGGGACCCACTTCCACCCCATGGACGTGCACCCTCCCCAGGGCCTCTCTCAGGCTGCCCCGGTGCTTTGCTTTGAGCCGTGTCTTACCAGACCATACGTCATTTCAGCTGCACGGACTCAAGCAGCAGGCTACGTCCGGATTGCTATTCACGTCCCTACATTGTCCTATAAAGACAGGACGTCGAAGCAGGAGCAGGTGAAAGCACTGTTCAGGAACAGAAATTCCGAGGGAGTGGTAGGCACCGGGCCAGGTGCACGTTTTCGGACTCCTAGTCCAGTGCACAGTTTCACCCGATGGACCCCGTGGCCCAGGTCCTCGGGGGGCTGGCTTTCCACCCTACTAGACAGGGCGGCACAGGCAGCTTCCGGGGTCTCCTGAGCTGGTGCCCAGCAGAGTAAGGACCTGCTACGTACTTACTGCGGGAATGAAATCTAAACAAATCCAAGAGTCTGATGAAGCTTTCTTGATAAGTTAGCTGGATCATCCCAATGGCATGACTGTGGGATCTGTAGCCACATCACAATCCATAAGAAGGGGGCTCTCTCTAACCCCTTGACACGGAGCTGTCCTGTATCAAAGCTTGCTCGCACTTCGGCACATCCGGAGACAGACACCCCGGGACTCGAGGGTGGGGAATAAGCTACTACGCACAAGGGGACTGTCTTCCGCTTGTCACTGCCATCACAAGGTCACTGTGGCCAGACACAGGGATGTTCCTCACCCGCAGGCTGTGCGGTCCCGACCGGAGACAGGGAAGGGACCTCGTGTGGCTGCTGAGGCCCCTTCCAGGTGGCAAGGCTGTGCTCCCCGGTTCCGACGACGCACACTCTGGGCCAGGCTGGTGAGGGCCCGTGCGGCCTCAGAGCAGAGCCCGGAGCGGGGACTCCAGCCAGGGCTGCCGGAGGGGACCCGCCCTCCCGTCCTTCATGCTGACAGCAGTGTGGCCCGACCAGCGAGGACTCCAGCCCGGCCTCCAGACAGAGGGGAGGAGAAGGCGAACACCAAGAGAGAGAAGGCGCTCCTCAGAGGCAGGAGAGGCCTGCTCCGCTCACCATCATTCCAGACACTGCCCGACCCAAGGCTGCAGTCGGCTTGCGGCAGATGCAGGCTGCCTGGGTTGGCTGGGGACACGGGAGTTAGCACAGCAGGAAAGAGTGGGAACGACCGATTCAAAAAGAAACAGTGAATGTATTTTTCCTCAGCGCTTATCTCATTTGTTAAAACGGTATTTTCCAAGCCGTTATCTTTTTAAGGGGGGGAAATCTGGTGCGGTGTTATCAGGCTGGAGGGCACCGGATACTCACAAGGCAGCAGAGCCTGGCTTTCGGTGTCGATGGGGGTTCTTTCTGACAGACGGGGTGGGGGGCGCAGGCGGTCTCTGGCGGGGACTGGCACACACAGGCTTCAGACCAGAGCGCATGCCCTGGGGTCCACTGCCTGCAGGTGTGTGGACAACCAGCAGAGAGGGCACAGGAGCGACTCCCCCAGGCCGGCCCCGAGGGGGCAGGGGGAGCGGGGCGGCGGGGGCCACTCCAGCCAGCTTCTCGGAGACGAGCTGTCCCCAAGCGGGTCCCAAAGGCTGAAAACCGGCCCTCGGGGCTCTCCGGTACCCCGCCATTGGGAGCTCTGCGTGAGTCACGGGAGCCCTCGGCCAGTAGGTGAGAACGTCAGTTGTACAAGGTCTTCACGGCTTTCTCCAGGTTGGCATAGAACCCCGCCATGCTGCGGGGGAAGAAGGAGTCCACCACACTCCGTGGGAGGTAGCCGCTGAGGTCGGTCTGGAAGAATGTGACCAGGTTGGTCTTCTCGGGCTCCCTAGGGAAACGGGCACGCTGCGTCACTGACGTGTTCAGAACAGTGCTCCGTAATGTCAAAGCCCGCGGGGCCGTAAGGCAGGTTTACTACTGCAAATTGTAATTCACGCGCCCATCGAACAGAAGGTCCGCAGTAAGCTATGGGTAGGTCTGGGCATGTCACTCAGGCCGGGAGATTGTCCTTACCCTGGCAGAGGCTCGCAGAAGCAGCCACAAGGGTGGTTAAAGCCTCTCACGTAACCTGGCTTCAGGGGACACAATGGATGCTCCACGTTGACAGCTGGAAGACAGAGCAAAACGGGAGGTGAGCTACGCCCTCACCCCTAGTGCATGCAGCACCCCCCCATCTGGAGCCTGAGGAGTCAGCATGGTGCCCCGGGACCTGCCCCTGAGCGCCCCCACCATCCCTTACCCTCACGCACACACACACACACACACACACACACTCACATACGTACACATACAAACCCACACACGCACCCACCCATGTTCACGGCTTCCCACGCCTGCCAGCATCTTACAGAAAAGAACATTCCACAGTGGAAGGCTTGGCGGCAGGGGGGAGGCACCTCTGATCCGCCCTCTGTGCCCACGTGGAAGATCCGCAGATATGGCAGGGGCTGCAGCTTTCGGGAGGCAGTGGGACGTGCGCCGTGGCAGGAGGGAGGGGACAGAGCGACAACCCCGCACACCGACAGTGGAGACCTTGAGCCTCAGCAGCGACAAAGGGTGCTGGCCACATCTGTGAGGTCACTGTCGGGTGACTGGCCTGTGCACCCTCTCACCTTGGCCCCCCATGGCACGCGCTCCCCCTGCACCTGGTGACACCCCGGCTGTCACTCACCATTGGAACTGAGGGTCCCATCCTCATACTTCTTGACGAGCACCAAGTCCACGAAGTCTCTGGGGGAAATGAGCTTCATGGCGGCTGAGGGGCTGGCGGTTCTGCTCACGCAGAGCATCTGTCAAAGCACGGAGGAGTCCAGCTGCCCTGGGCCCCACCCCACACCCAGCGTCTGGGAAATGAGGAGTCTGGCCCTCAGAGCAAGGTCCTGGAGGGAGCACCCCTTGAGCCTCACCCAATCTCAGAACACCCCACCAGTCCACTCTCCCACCTCGAAGGCAAGGTCGCCCCAACCCACCCAGGCTTTATCCTACCCTTCTCCGCCTCCAGCAGCAACCCCTCCAGGGTCACAGGGGAGAAGAACGGGTCAGGTGTAGGATGGGACGGCGCTCTCTGGGGTGTGGCATGGGCAAGAAGGGACCGCACTTGAAGGGACTGGGTTTTAAGACTGGGGCGTGGAGCGTCTTGGCAGAGACACCTCTGCCCACAGGGTCTGAGTCTTCAGGTGGGCATGCAATCCCGGGGGGCACTGGGAATCCATGTCCAGATGACTCAGCCTCCCTGCGTTCTTCCTAAAAACACCAGCCTGAGCGCAGGCTCACCTTCACACAGCCTCTCCCTTTCCACTTGAGACAAACGCACGGCACACCCTACCCATCTGGAATCTCCCTGGCAGGCACGGTCCCCGGGTGCCAAGTCTCCCAGGGCACCAGGGGGACACGTCAGGATGCTGATTCCAGTAGTTGAGCAAGGCACGGCATGCTGGAGTTAGAACCCCACGTTCTCCCCTCTTAAGACCAAGAATCCCACGTTCTCCCCTCTTCTTCTCCCCTCTTAAGACCAGACCTTGCTGTAAGAAACAAGGCAGTTTGGCACTTCGGAATTCTTCTCGTCCCGATTCCTGCTGTGGGATGCATCATTCCCGAAGGAGCACTTACAGTATTGATAAGAAATGCCAAAGGCAGCAACACGTGATAAATCCATAAACTCGCACCCGGCTCTGTGTCCATCCTGCTGCCCGTCTGTCACCTATCTGTCCAACTCAGAATTCGAGTACTTGGGATTTCTCAAAATCAAGCTGATAAATACCAGTCTGCATGGGAGGGCTCCTTCTGTGCGTCCTCGCCATTCCCCTGAATGGCAAGGAGGAACCGCAGGTCAGCTTCTTCTCCCCTTCTCCAGGACCTCAGCTCACCAGCAGCCCGTGTCTTCCTCTATTCCCAGTTACTGTCCACCGAAGGCTCCACCTTTCTTTTTTTTTTTTTTCTTTAAAGATTTCATTTCTAAGTCATCTCTGCATCCGACAATGTGGGGCTCGAACCCACAGCCCCGAGGTCCACAGTCACCTACTCCACTGACCGAGCCAGCCAGGCGCCCCTCTCCTTCTAGCAGTAAGTCCTATCTTTTCATGGGCACATGAATCAACTTGAGAAAGGACCTCCCATTCCCCTCACCGAGAGATGTAAAATAGATTACTTTTTACGTATAACAGTCCTGCATCCACATTTGTAATGTGTCTTAAGGTCACAGGAGATATATTATATACATAAATATATATACATAGAATTCATGTACACATTCATGACGAAGGATGATGTCTTTGAAGAATAAATATACCAGGATGAAAATTCAGTAGCCTACTTGCAATGGAAAAATAAGTTCAAGAAATGATGAGGAGAACTAAGGCAAAAGAAAGCGGATAAAATTAAATTTCCTTACAAACTTGCAGCCAAATGACAAATCCTTGAGTCAGGCAGAGTACGATATTCCTCCAGGAACCCAGGACTGCCTTCTTGTCAAAGCTTTGCTAGAGGCAAAAAGCAACCTTAGCTTTTGATCACAGCCAGGCCTCCGGGATCCTGGAAGTCTTCTTCAGCATACGAAAATCCTTGTGGAAACTTCCTCTATCTCTACCCCCCAACTTAACACTGTATATAATCAATAGCCCCTCACACCCCCAGTGCAGAGCTCTCTGCCCCGGGTCCTGTCCCTGTGCCTTAATAAAAGCACCTTTCTGCACCTAACACGTCTCAAGAATTCTTTTTTTTTTTTAAGATTTTATTTATTTATTCATGAGAGACAGAGAGAGAGAAGCAGAGGGAGAAACAGGCTCCCAAGGAGCAGGGAGCCCGATGCGGGACTCGATCCCAGGACCCCGGGATCATGACCCGAGCCGAAGGCAGACGCTTAACCATCTGAGCCACCCAGGCGCCCAAATGTAGAGCCCGCCCAACGTGGGGCTCGAACCCACGACCCTGAGATTAAGAGTCTCATGCTCTACCGACTGAGCTAGCCGGGCGACTCAAGAATTCTTTCTTCGCCATTCGCTCCTGGCCCACATCACATCAATGTATTTTTAAAATAAATGATAGTAAATAAAACTTCATGTCACGCAGATACATCTAAAAGAATGAAGTCATTGTTTTGCTCAAAACTGCCTGATTTATCACATGTTAAAAATGGCATGCTTTTAGGGGCAGCCTGGGTGGCCCAGTGGGTTAAGCGTCTGCCTTCGGCTCAGGTCATGATCCCAGGGTCCTGGGATCGAGCCCCGCATCGGGCGCCCCGCTCCGCCGCGAGTCTGCTTCTCCCTCTCCCTCTGTGATCGTTTTCACTCTCTCTCAAATAAATAAAATGTTTTTTTCAAAAAAGTCATTCTTTGCAATTTATGATGAAAATTTTAGACGTTAACTAAATGTTAGGTGTCAAGTGCATGTGTGGGGATGAAGTAAGACTTCCCAGAAGTCTGTTGGAGATGGGCATGCAAAACATTTGAAAACTTGCAGGACAGAACTGACAGGGTCAGGCAGGGTACAGGGGAGGGGGGAGGGATTGGGGGCTGCTTTGGGCCCACACTGGCTCAGCCCTAGGCCAAGGACTGAGGGTCCCCTGTGGCCCCAGGCAGGGAAGCAGGCATGCCTTCCTAGAAAGAACCAGAGCGCTCAGAGAGAGACCGTGTAGCATTGAGGAGGGAGCAGAAGGCTAGCTGAGGACAAAGCACCGGCTGACAACCTGCAACCTACCCCCACCCCCGATTCCTGAGTGGGTATGTGTGACATTCCTCCGGGAAACTTTCAATTATCTTACTGTTCAGGCTTTCCTAGAGGCTAAAGCAACCTTAGCTTGCTAATCGCCAAGCCTACAGTATCCCAGGGTCTTCTTTAGCATATATGAAAGTCCTTTTTCCTTATCTTCCCCAACTCCCAAGTCTAAACACCCTACAGAAATGCAGCCATGGTTACCTTCAGTAAGGAAACTCCATATATGTCATTCTGTCACATTTGTGTTAGGTTGTAAAGGGCCTTAGCCCATGGTTTCTCAACTCGAAGCATGTGTGTATAATTATTTGTATATTGTCTTCCCAATTTTTTTACTCTCTCTGGTAGCCCTTATGTTGCTGTTCACTTAATATTTTTATCTAAATGTGCTCACTTTTATAAACTTGGACAAATTTATTTTATTTTATTTTATTATTATTATTTTTTAAAGATTTTATTTATTTATTTGAGAGAGAGAGAGAATGAGAGATAGAGAGCACGAGAGGCAAGAGGGTCAGAGGGAGAAGCAGACTCCCTGCTCAGCAGGGAGCCTGATGCGGGACTCGATCCCGGGACTCCAGGATCACGACCTGAGCCGAAGGCAGTCGCTTAACCAACTGAGCCACCCAGGCGTCCCTGGACAAATTTATTTTAAAAGGATGCTACTTAACTATCTGCAAAATATACACACAAAGGATTGCTGGGTTCTAATTCTGATTCTGAGGTTGAGGCCAGCTGTCCGGTTTTGTTATAAAGGAGATTAGCCAAGTGTTAAATGGGAGTCACAGGCACATTAGCACCTAACTGAAACTCTCCCCTTCAAGCTAGGAGAGGAATTAAAAAAGAACCGAGTCCCGGTGACATCATCATGTCTGATTCAATTTCAGTGTTTGCCTAATATCCTTTGTATCTCGGGGGTGTGTGCCCCACCCTTCAGGAAATACCCACATAAACTCTTGACAATGAACTGAAATGTGAATTTTGGTCCGGGCCAAGAACACCTGGGTCCTCCAGATGGGCCAGCACAGAGCTATGGCCTGAGGTTTCACAACACCATCTGTGTAAACACGCAAGAGGGTGTCACGTCTATGGATGTCAGAATCAAACAGGTTGGCAACATCTCCCCAAGGCAACTTCATTATTAGTTTTGGCTACGAGTTTTTTTTTCCTTCTTAACTTCTGTAATCAAAACGAGGTGTGTTCTTAATGCTACAAATTCCTAACGCTCAATATTCTCAGGACAGAAGCACCTAGAATTATGCCACTAGCGTCATGTGGTTATTTAAATTTACCCTGAGAGTAATGAAAAATAAATAAAGTGAACAATTCGTTTCCTCCAACTAGACACCTTTCAAGTGCTCTGTGGCCCCACGGGGGCTAGGGGCTACTGTAGTGGACAGGGTTGTTACAGAACATTTCCATCATTCTGGAAAGTTCTACTGGGCAGCGCTAGCTTGGACGACATACATTGTACCAATGGAGAAACTGTAATCCCTACAGCTGGGCAGAGAACGCTGGCTCTGGCCACGACTCTGGATTCATCATCATGGCCCCATCAAGGGGCACTATTTCACACCCAGGCTGATGAATCAAATCCAGCCGCAGCTTTAGCAACCTCAGAGCCCACGTTCGCGCTGCCCGCCTTCAAAGCACCTGCGATTTCTCTGAGCTCCGCTTAGGACTTCTCCACCCATCTGGTCACAGGGTTTCCCACCTGCAGCAGACTGGGGCTGTGCGGGGTCCTGCCCTTGCCAAAAGGTGTCCCTGACCCCCTCCAGAGGGACAGGGTCAGGTTACTTGCTAGGGTAACAGCGCTCAGAAAGACTTACATCAGTGAGGCTTTCGATAATTTCAAAGCTGCTCACATTCTCATCCCACTTGTCCCGAAGGGTCCCAGCAAGCGGCTTGATGCAGTCCCACACCTTCTCTGGTGTCGCGTTCACGATTCCTTCTCCCCGGTACCTGGAGCACAAGAAGGAATGTGAGCCCAGGAACCCCACCAAAGCTTTTGATCCTGGGATCATACAGGAGGACTAACCGCCACATCTGTCATTGCTCTTTCCGGCACCCTTGCAGATCAGGGGCTGAGAGTTAACCAGCCCACCTCCCCTCAGACCTGCAGAAACAGACCGTGCGTTTTCACGAGATACAGTTTGCTGGAAATGATTTAGATAATAATAACAGAAGCTTTTCCGGAATATAATTGGCAAGTGGATTCCAGGGTGCTAGGGTAGACTGGAATTATTTTAGGAAGCAAACCCACAGAGACATCAAGAAGGAGTAGCACCTCTGACAAACTTTGACAAGGCATGCACTTACAGGTTCCCTGGAAACTCCATAGATGGCCTCCAGGAAACTGAAACTCCATTCTGTCAAAAGGCACAGAATCGTAGAATTTAGAGCTAGAAAGGCTCTGGGAGATCACCTGACCCAATCCCCTGTGCTATACAGAAGAGAAGTCTGGAGCCTCAAGAGATGTGACCTGACCTGGCTGATTCGAAGAGCCCTGGGTGTTTTTCAAACTTCCTAAAAGCCACCATGCCATTTGTCTCCTCAAGCAATTTCCACCTATTCCTTAAAAATTAGAAGCCTCGCATAAGCAAAAACTATTCCCGTGCCACCCTCCTGGGAACGGGGAGAGGCTCATGCTAAGATGAGGATAGGCTCTGGAGCCTCACCACCATTTGCTAGCCAGCTGACCTTGGGCAAGTCACTCAATGAAAGGGACAGATACATCTCCCGGGGTCCTAGTGCACACAACAGGCCCAGGATTTTTTAAAGAAACAACCCTCAACGGAATCTACCCCTACCCAATCCAGCTCCAGGGTATTAGAGAGCAGAAAGGAGCAGGAAGAGGAGCCTAGGGTCTTCGGAGACCCCAGCCCCAGGGCGCACGCGACCCCTTCCTGCCCAGCTCCTCACTCACGCCTTCCCGGCAAATCTTCCATCCTGACTCGTCCCGCCGGTACTGGAGCACCTTCTCCGCCACCTCCTCGCTCATCTGCGCGGCCAGCGCAGGGTCCATAGCGCCAAGGGTTGCGCGTGGCTGCGGGGTCAAGGCCCGGGTGCGCGGTGGCGGAGGCCGGCTCTGGGTCTGCGAGGCCGCCACGCCCGGGCCGGGGGACGGAGCCTCAGCCCAGGCCCCGCCCCACGCCCCCGGATTGGCCCAGGCGGGCAGACAGGCCCCGCCCCGCCCCGCCCCGAGATTGGCAGGGCCGGAGACGGCCGGGCCAGGCTGGGCGGTCCTGGGCGGGCGGTGTAGACCCGCGGGTCCGCCTCCGGCCTGGGAGGGGCCTTGCGCCTCGAGCTGGGGGGGCGGCCCCGCGGGGCCACTGGCGGCCGGGAGCGTGGACTTCCGCTCCGAGCGCCCAGAGGCCTGCGGCGGGGCGGGGCGGCGGTGCAGTTCGCTTCAGAGATGACGTGGGGCGGCTGCTGCGGGGGGGGGGCGCGGGGCGGGGGGGGGGCGGGCCGCGCAGGAGAGGGCTCCTGGGGCAGGGCCCCCGGGTGGAATCTGGAGGTCTGTGCCACTGAAGCGGGGAGCTCGGTGGCCCCGCCCTGCGGCCGGAGCCCCTGCTGGCCCAGCTGAGTGGAGACCTGGCGCGTTCAGTTCTGGGCACGGGTTTTTGTTTTAATTTTTATTTACATTCTAGTTAGTTAGCATACAGCGCACTATTGGTTTCAGGAGTAGAACTCAGTGGTTCATCACTTACATACAACACCCAGTGCTCCTCACAAGTGCCCTCTTTAATACCCATCCCCCATCTAGCCTATCCCTCACCCACCTCCCTCCATCAACCCTCAGTCTGTTCTCTTTAGTTTTTGGCCATAGGGCCTGAAAGAGCTAAGTGGAGGTGTCCAGGAGGCTGAGGTGCCCGGGCATCTGGGGGAGAGCTGGGCTCTGGCTAAGAGGTACAGGCTTCTCCGCGAGCAGGTGGCCCAGGTCCTGGCGAGCGAGTGGGGTCACATCCCCCGCGTGTGAACGGCAAGGGCAGTCTCGTTTTCCTCCTCTTATATAACCAACTAAATATTTGAAAAGGTCAGCACAGAGGCCTATTTGTGCTTCTATTTGTCTGTTTATCATTTCATTTACAGGTTTGAAAAAAAGGTTGTAAACACAATGACTACTTGAAAACCCTTTTCGGAGGATGTGATAGGCTGTGGGGTTGTAAAGAAGCCGTGCATGGGGAATGAGGGAGTTCCAGACTCTGGACCCAGCTTCAGCCAGTAGTGGCTGTGTGGTTTTGGGCTAGTCACTTAACGTCTTAGTGCCTCAGTTTGCTCCAAGGGGAAATGGGACACTAATACGTGTCTCTGTGTGCCCTTGTGATGGGCAAGTGAAGTGACACAAGTGGGTATTCCTGGGAGCCATAAAAAAAAGACCGATAAGGTAACCACATTAAAAAAAATTAGGCATGGGTGGCTCAGTCAGTTAAGTGTCTGCCTTCAGGTCAGGTCATAATCCCAGTGTCCTGGGATTGAGTCCTGCATCGGGCTCCCTGCTCAGCGGGGAGCCTGCTTCTCCCTCTGCCTGCCGCTCCGCCCGGCTTGTGCTCTCTGACAAATAAATAAATAAAATATTTTAAAACAATTAAGCACATCAAAAATACCACAAAAAGTTAGGCGATAGTCTGAAGGAAAAAATGGAGCATATTTTGACTGAAAGTAAATTTTTTCATGTACAAAGTGCTCTTATAAATTACTAGGAAATTTTCAAACAACCTAACAGACAAAACTAATGCATCAGATGTGAACAGATACTCTGCAGAAACCCAAATTAACAGGGCTAATAAAGATATGAAAAGATGCAGAACCTCCTTCCTATCTAGGGAATTTGTAATTAAAACAAGGGAACAGGTTCACAGCTATCTGATGGGTAGCTAGGCAGAGGTTTGTTAATTCCCTGTGTTGGTAAGTGTATAGAGAAAATTTTTTTATACACTGTGGGCAAGAGTGTAAGTTTATGTAATCTTCTGGGAGGAAAACAACCTATCTTAAAATTTTAGTTTACTTGTGTTTTGACCCAGCGCCTCCTGCACAGGCATGCATAAGATGCATCTTGCAACAGGAAACGATCTATTTGTCCAAAGAGTAAAGAAAGTGACAGGCTATTCATTTGGTGGAATATTATGTAGCCATTAAAGCAATGTGACACAGATGAAGGAAGGTGGGACTGGAACAGGAAATGATCTCTAGAGCTCACGCAGCTGTCTAGAAACAGGAGTTTTGATATGAATAGACTATTCTAACCAAGTGCAGTTGATTCTCTACAAAGGAAATAAATGGTATTTAAAACTTAACTTTAAAAACAACTTAGTACTGTTTAAATTCTTGTCCCCCCCATAAAATGTTTTATATGTGTACTGACAGGGAACAATGTTTATATATATATATATATATATATATATATATAGTATACATGCACACACACACACACACACATATATATATATATAGTCCAGTATATAAACTGAAGGACAGGAGTATTGTAGGTAAGTCAGTGCTCAGCTCAGATTGCCTGAGTCCAGGTCCAGATCCCAGCATCACCACTCACTAGCTGTGACCCTGGTAAGTCACTGGACCTTGCAGATCTTAGCATCCTTCTTTGGAAAATGAGAAAAATAATAGTACTAACTCATAAGGTTGACATACGGATCAAAGGTTTTAATAGAGGGGCGCCTGGGTGGCTCTGTCGTTAAGCATCTGCCTTCGGCTCAGGTCATGATCCCGGGGTCCTGGGATCGAGCCCCGCGTCGGGCTCCCTGCTCCGCGGGAAGCCTGCTTCTCCCTCCCCCACTCCCCCTGCTTGTGTTCCCTCTCTCGCTGTGTCTCTCTCTGTCAAATAAATAAATAAAATCTTAAAAAAAACAAAAGGTTTTAATAGATGAATAACAATTAGAATGGTGCTTGGCATACAATCCATGTTTATGTATGATATATAATATCCATAAATATCTTGAGAGAAATAACTAGAGATGTTTGTATATGTTTATGCATCAACGTTTTTAGAAGACCGACTTCCGGAAAGGTTTAGAATAAACTGTGAGCCATAGGGAGTAATGCCAAAGGAGATTACTTTCTTATTTTATATCATCGCATGCTATTTAATTATTTTAATTACTAATATGTAAGACTTTTTAAATTACAAAAAAAAAAGCCTCATTGAACAGTTCAATGTAGACTGTTTTGGTAGCGCTGCAGCTCGAAACCTGTTCAGGTGGGGGCCTACCAGAATTTTGTTTGGGGATAAAATGCTCTGAAAACAAAGCTGGAGGAAACTAAGTCTTGCTATAGAAAGTGACTTCCGTTAGACATCAGACACACGAGAGATTTCTATTTTTATCAAATGGAGCATTAGTTTTGAATTTTTTTTTTTTTATCACTGCAAGAGCTTCTAATGTTTGCTCTCAGAAAATGGGAAGCCCTGGGTAGATGAAATATTCGGAAGAGAAAAGCGACCCCCGAGGCCTGTGACAAATGGCAGCAGGAGACGGGTGAGGTCTCAGGACAGTCCTGGGGGAAGCTCCGGTCTGTCTCGCCTGGGGAGGCCTGGCACGGCAGGATGAGAAGCTGCCTGGGCAGGAGGCAGGAGGTCCGCCCACGTGGCCAGCTGATCAGTGGGGCCTGGGGTGGCAGTTCAGAGCTGATGGGAAGGAGGGGGTGTGTAGTCTCCCCCGATCAGAGCCGCTTCAGCAAGGTCCTCGGGCCTCTGAGTCACCCAGCTGTGAGGGCAGGCCTCACCGAAGTCCCAGCTGAGTTTTAAATAGGTATATACGGCATGGGGGGCCCAGCAGTGTCCACCCCAAACCGGCTCCAGACCACGGACGGGTGGGGCCACGTGTGCAACTGCTCCAGCCCTAAAAGCTCCTGGATGGAGAATGTGCTTTCCACTTGGACCGCGATGTTCGTTATGTTATTTGTTATGTTCGCTCGGGCAGGTGCTGTCGGCACAGATGAATCTCTTTCTGCAAAGCACGTGTATGTCTGTTTAGTCTTAGCGACAGCTGATTGTTATTGAGCTGTGCTATCTGCTGGTCAACGTCCTGGGCACTGCACTGGTGCTGGACCTTGGAACCCTCACAACACCCCAGCATTAGGAAGTGCAGACCACATCCCATTTTCAGGCTATGAAACTGAAAATCATATCACTAGTAAGGAGCAGAGCTGTGGTGCACACCCAGTTCCTTTTTCTGAAGGTCATGGGTTTACTTACATGCTTTACCGCCTCTTCCTCCCTGTAAGGATACACAGTGTTTAGCATGAAATGGGCAAGAGTAAAATCAGAAATTGCAATAATATACAAACCCCAAAAAAGAGGGAATATGCACATACACACACGCACACAGAGTAGCTGGAAAGCGGGAATACTACCTCAGACTACAGAAGTGAGTCTTTTAAAGATGCACAGAAAACTTTTCTCTGAATGTTCTGGCCTTCACGAATTTGGAAACATAAGCAGTGACCAAGGGAGTATCCTTAGGTTACTGAGATATTTACCAGACTATTCCTATCAAGAGGAGTTCTCGTGTCATATTTAATGGATACAGTTGTGATGATTTCTGAGACCTGGAGGAGTTTGTTACATGGGCTTTTTTAGGAGGGATTTTTTAATAATAGTGTGGGTCATATTCTCAGTGATGGTTTGACCAAAGGACAGATGTGAATCATTACACCCCACCGCCCAACACTGAAAGCCAAAGGACCATCACGGAAAGCCAAAGGAATGTTGTGAAGCGTCAGTTAGGAGAAGGTGTTCGATGGTGCAGATGTGAAGCTTCCCGCAGGATGCAGTGGACAGAAGGGCCAGAGCTGGTGGCCTCTGCCGACAGAAAACCCAGCAAAGGCGGGTAGGCCATCGGTTCACAGAAGAGAAAATGCAGAGGGCCAATCCACACAGGGGAAGACGCTAACAACCAGGGAAATGCAAATTAATTAAAATAACTAGGGATTTTTTTTTTCAGCGGGTTGGCAAAATTTACATAGTGTGGCGATATCAAGTTCGGGTGGGGCTATAAGCAAAATGGCCCTTGTCATCTGCAGACGGAGTTTGCATGGGGGTCTGGGCGCCTGGAGACTCCCAGAGGAGCAGCCCGTGATGTTGAACACGCTCCTGTCCTGT